ACTTAATATTTTCATTCAAAATTCTAACATTAATTTGACTTTAATCTCTAGATTGTTTATTTAATACTTGTTTTTAATAAGATATTAATTGCTTGGAAGTCGGATAGTCACAGGCCACAACGTTAACGTTGTTTGTCTCATGTCTCATGCCATCTTTGTTTATTTGTCATCTCGTCCTATATGACTTAAATTACCTCATGAAAGCAAATTAAAATTCGTACTCTTTTGGTTATCAGCGAAAGGAACTAAAAAGAAAAAAACAGTTAGATTATTTTCTAAAAAAATTAAATTAGGGACACTTGGACCGAATAAAAAAATACAATGAGACAAAATATACTTCAGTAAAAGTATTTAAAAAATTCAAATGAAATATTAAAACAGATACAATTTCGAAGAATCTTTAGTTGCTCATTTTGTTTTCCTCGTGTCCTTAATTTTTGCATTGATGATTGGGAAAATTACTTAAAAATCCCATATAATATATTTAAATACTACATAATTTATTGACAACTTAGCAAACGAAAATTAAATGACAACACATTTAGTTATCATTTTCCTTTACTTGCTCAGTTATTAATGGATCTTATAATATTTAATCGTGTTATATGGAAACTTTAAGTTATCCTCCCTTAATAATTAAATAATTGAGAGAATGAGAAATAGACCTTATAAGAATATTAATGTTAAATGATAAAGAAAAGATCTAATGATGGGAACATAATGACTCTATATTTTCATGTATTTTGAGAGTTTCATTAGTTAATTAGAGAGTCATCTAGTGATTTTTGGTTAATTGTCTTGTGTTTAATGTTTATTTTTGTGTTGGTTAGCTTGCTTATAAACATTGTGCTTTGATTTCTTTTAGAGTAATTTCTATTGTTAATTTGAGTTATTTTAATATTAGGAACCCTTACAAAAACTTGGAAGAAGTGAAGGAAGAAAAATATGATTATTTTAAGGAAAAAATTAGACTTCAATGATTACTTGTTATAGCAAGTTAGTGTTATAAAGCAAATTCTAAACTAGAAATAGAGTTTGTTATAATGGGCACTACAGCAGATTTTGAACCAAAAATGCATAGCATCAATTTTTCAGATAGAAAATAAAAGAGCACGAAAGTTTTCTCATATCTTGACTTTTAGGGAGCATTCTAAACCATAGGAGGTGATTTTGAAGGCTAGACACTAATTTAAGAGCTTGGAGGAAGATGATTCATCCAATTTTTTTGATTCCTTCGAGTTTAATATTGTTTTTCTCCTTCCTCTCCATTGTTTTTGATTTGGCTCTTTCATTACTACAAAATAACTTACAGAATCACTTATTTTTGCCCAACGAGAGTGCTTCAAAAGCACTCCCATATCCAATGCTCCCGTAGATATGGGAGCACTTTTAAAGCCCTTCTATAGGTAACATATATATGAGCATTTTTATTCAAAGCATTCCTATAGGTTTTACTCATGAGAGCGTTATTCATGAAAGTGCTTTCGTAAGTTTCATTAAAAAAAAAACACTTAAAGACATATGGAAGCGTTCTTTATAAAAGTGCTCTTGTGTGACCCTTGTGGGAGAGCTTTTTGTTAGAGTGCTCCTATAAATGCCAACCTACCGGGGCACTCTAACAAAAAGTGCTCTTGTATGTTGGGATATAGGAGTGCCTTTATTAAGAGTGCTCCCATATCTAAACATTTTAGAGCACTTTCAAAATGAGTGCTCTCACATGTTTTTTTTTCTTTCAAATTTTTGTTATCTTTTTATACATCTTTTGCTACTCATTACGAATGACAATTATCCCATACCAATATCAAAAAATCAATATAAAAACAAAATAGTTAAACATTAGATGTTATATACAACTAAGGAACTTGAAATTAAAACTAACTTAGATTAAATTTCTAACTTATCTAATCTCTAGTTAGTCTTACAAATAAAACTTTTAGTATCTTTCTAACATTAGATGTTACCTATCACATAAAACTAATTACATCTTTTATTTGCTTCATGGTTAAATGCGAGAATCTTGCTCCAGCAAAATACTACAAGAAAAATCAATGTATAATTAATTATTTATGTTATATGTAAGACATGAATTTAATTTTGAAACACTTATATTTGGCGGAATGATCAACTCTTACTGTGTGATTACTTTTTATATAAACTTTAACACATAGTAACCATATACATGAATTTAATTTTGAAACACTTATATTTGGTGGAATGATCAACTCTTACTGTGTGATTACTTTTTATATAAACTTTAACACATAGTAACCATACTTTCAACTTTTTATTTGTATAGGTGCCTATAAAAATAATAAAATAAGATGTAATTATCCAAAAAGTTAGAAAGAAATGGAACTAATTAACATTTTAGAGATCAAATTACATCTACAATTTGGATCTACAGATCAAATTTGGAGAAAATTCAACAGAACTTCCCTTATAACTTGGATGTTCCATAATTGCCCAGATATTCTACATCAATTCAAAATAGCATATTCAGAATAATAGACATAAAATATTAATCAAATAATCATTTATATACATATATACCAAACATGTTTTATTAAGCAAATAATACAAATTAATCGGTTAATTAAAATCTTCTCTAATATTTAAACTTTCTTTCCAATAGGGTCCCAAGTTTTCATCATTAAATAAATAAATATTACTTAAAATAAAATTAAATCAAAGTTGTAGAGTATACGAAAGTATAATATATCAATCGTTTGAACAACATAGCAAAAGGGGGACAAAAAAGTCACTTTATAAAATTATGAGTTGTTCGTTATAGGCAACGGTTCATTCACCACGACAAACCATGTTGAGGTGAATTTGGTCTACATAATAGTCAACATTTTATATATAAATGGTGGGGATAATTTGTTCAAATTTTAAAGTTCAAGGCCCACGACGCTACTCATATAATAGTTTAGGGTTTGTAGTCTTAATTAACAAATGACACATCAGCAAGGAACTGTTATGTCAGCAGTTGACTGGAGCCCATGATGAATAGTAATGATGTTAACAAAAAGTTGATGTAGAGTTTAATTTGCTATGAATTTAAAAGTTTGTGATTTATTTTACACATTTTAAAAGTTCATGGCTCTTTTCACACAATATTTCAAGATTTATTTTGCTCATTAATCCTACATAATATAACCCACAATCCAACAATGACCATAATAAGAAAAACATATATGTTATAAAAAAAAGATAAACATATATGTGAGAAAATTAATACCGCTTGTATCAATTAATATGAATATCAAAATTAATTCGCCAATGGCATCATGCCACAATGGCATAGTTAGCTGGGGTCGGTTATTTATACAACAAATAAATTTGCAAAATTTAAGAAATTTAAGTAGCCACTTGAGATTAACTAAAGTGGTAAAACTTAAAAGTGGAGTGACGGCTAAGGAAAGGTGAACTATTAAACCCATGCATTTTATATGAGAGAGAAATATATAATTAGTTAATTACTCTCAAGATGATAATTTTTTAAATGATTGTATTGACAAAATTATGGTTACTTTATACCTAACTCACAAGTTGAATGAATTGAGATATGAATTTCAGTTAATGTTTAAATCCTTTGGAGTAACAAAAAACGTTGTAAAATTATATTCTCATTTTTTAAAGTTTAGAGATAGACTTAATTTAACGATAAACATATTTTTACTAGTATTTATTGTCATGTGGGTGCTTTTTTTTTTTTTTCCAACGTAGTATGAAGGAGGGTCAAGAAAATGAAATATCTCCCCTAATATCATTTTTATTTAGGACAAAGAATATTACTTATAAATCTATTGATGACACTCCCTCATTCCCTAAACATAAAATATTTTTTAAAAATTTATTTTATTCATAATATAATGGGTGTCAATAATATTTTTAAGTAATTAAATAATTTTTTTTCTTATCTTAAATAGTTGAGGAGATATTAATTGTGTACCTCAACCTCAAGTATCATGATATTAATTGTGACATTATTAAATAATAAAATTAAAAAATTATTGTGATTTTATGTAATTTTAACTAAATAATACATGTTTATTAGTATGCAGGGATTCGATTAAAAAATTTTATCTACAACTACAGGGATGAAGAAAGTATTTAATTTTTTTAAAAAATTAATTTACAAATTCTTATAGTTTTTTTTAATTTGAAATAAGGGCTCATAGTTTATTTTGTTTTAATTTTGCTTTTATAATTTTATGTGTTAAATTTACCAATCTATAAAGGTTAAAATTTTTAAATTTCTCTGTTAAAAAATAAAATTAAGAAGAATTTTATATAATTTTGTTAAATGATTCTATAATTTTATAATTAATTACATAATTTTATAACTCAAAATTTTTATAAATTGATCAATATTGATATTTATATTCGTTCTATTATTGAACAATAATTTTATATTTTTTAAAAAACATAATTTAACTATTTGGAATTGCAGGTCGCTGGACATTATTTTCTCGTAAATCATGATATACAAGTGCCATGATCTAAGGAATCTGTTTTATTTATTTTTTAATTGAATATATTAGTAGATTTTACAAAAATTGCTATGAAATTTTTAAGGGAAAAAACTTTCATAGTTAACCAAGCTTACATATTTAAGATAATTATTTTTAATTAAATTAAATTAAGACATGTCCATCTTCTATAAATTATTTATTTTAAAATAAACTCCTGTTATTAATATTATTATATATTAAAAACTATTTGTCTTGATTTAATTTGGTAAAAATATATTAATCACATTAAACAAAGTTTTGCCTCATTTTAAAGAGGTATCATCTTAAAATATTTTGATAATGACATTATCAAATTCTGACAACAATTTTTTAAGAACTTATTTGTAAATGATATTAACATTGAAAATGATTATAATTTTTGTTTTTGGGAAATTTTAAGTCGTTGGCAATAATTTCCTCTTAATATATTCACACCATTATTTAAGGAATCAATCATCAAAGCCTTGGTTTCCAAATCTTCCTAGCACCACCTGTGTCTAGTAGTCGCAAAAGATCTATTCTTCCGACACTTTACCCGCAGAGTACTGCGAACCCATTTAACTATTTCCATCTCGTCTTCGCCATAATTCTCTGGTTTTGCTGAGCTGCTCTGTTCTTCATCCTTCTATTTCTTTTTTTCTTTTATTTGTGTTCCAATTCTGTTACATCACAAGTATCTTTCTCCTCTTTTATTCGTCCAGAGATGTGGCCGTCGGATTACACTCTCAAATCATGAGCTTCTCCAGTCTTCTTCCCCATTTATGCTGGAGATTTTTCCTACTTGTTTTTCTTCTTACTGTTGCTGTGAATCCATGTCTTGCATTAAACAGAGATGGTCTCTTGTTGATTTCTTTGAAGTACTCTGTTTTGACTGATCCTTTGTTCCAGCTTGGAAGCTGGAACTACTGGGACCAGACTCCTTGTTTGTGGAAAGGAGTTCAATGCGACGTTGTTCCGGATGCAACGAATTCTTCTCAGGATCGTGTGGTTGGTTTGGCTCTTCCGAATTCTCAGCTTCTGGGCTCCATTCCTGACGATCTTGGTTTGATTGAAAATCTTCGAAGTCTCGACCTCTCTAATAATTCTCTCAACGGCTCTCTTCCCACTTCACTTTTCCAGGCTTCAAAGCTCGGGTTTCTTGATTTGTCTAACAACTTGATCTCCGGGGAGATTCCAGATTCCGTAGTTCAGCTCACTAATCTTCAGCTTCTTAACCTCTCTGACAATGCATTGGCGGGAAACCTTCCCACTGGTCTTGGAAAGATGCAGAATCTAACTGTTGTGTCGGTGAAGAATAATTACTTATCAGGTGGTCTTCCTAGTGGGTTCCGAATGACGCAAGTCCTAGATCTGTCTTCGAACTTGTTGAACGGATCTCTTCCTTCGGATTTCGGCGGTGATCGTCTGCGATACTTGAATATATCCTTCAATAAATTTTCCGGGAAAATCACCCCAGAATTCGCAGATAAAATTCCAAGTAACGCTACAGTTGACATCTCCTTCAACAATCTCGCCGGAGAGATTCCAGATTCCTCCGTGTTCACGAACCTCGATTCAAACTCATTTTCTGGGAATCCCGATCTCTGCGGAGGAGAAATCGATAACCCATGTCCCATCTCCTCGCCACCAGCTCCTTCACCAAACGCCACTGCTCCGACATCTCGTCCTGCATTCGCCGTATTTCCAAGAACACTTGATCCTCCTCAATCGGAGTCAGTAAACGGGCCTTTGCGGCAAGAGAGGACAGGACTAAGAACAGGAACAATCATAGGAATCGTTGTAGGGGACATTATAGGCATCGGAATCTTAGCCGTGATATTCCTATACGTGTTCCAATTAAAAAGAAGGAAGAAGTCGGAGGATGCCCTAAACAAAGAAGCCATCAATGGGTCATCATCGCCGTCCTTCGAGTCAAAAGGGTTCAGAAGTTGGTCATGCTTGCATAAAAACACCGAAGAAGAAGAATCATCATCACCATCAGAATCTACAAGTTCTTCTGAAAGCGAAGTGGAAGCACAAAATGGCGCTAAAAATCAGATTCATAGACAAGAAGAATGTTTGCAGAACAAAACAGGGACGTTGGTGACAGTTGATGGGGAAAGAGAGATGGAGCTGGAGACGCTTCTAAAGGCGTCAGCTTTCATCCTGGGCGCCACCGGTTCGAGCATAATGTACAAAGCAGTCCTCGAAGATGGCACCGCGTTAGCGGTCCGGAGAATCGGTGAGATCGGTGTAGGCCGGTTCAAGGACTTCGAGACGCAAGTCCGGGTCGTAGCCAAACTGGTTCATCCAAACCTGGTTCGGGTTCGAGGATTCTATTGGGGAAATGAAGAGAAGCTTATCATCTACGACTTCGTTCCCAATGGCAGCCTCGCCAATTTTCGCTACAGTAAGTCCCTCGTCCCTTTCTCGCCAATTTTGTTTTTGAATTAAAATTAAAAAAATAGTAATAGTGCGAATTAAGATTAGAATTTAGAACATTCTCTTAAGTTGAATGACGCTGACTAGAGCAGGGTAAGGTGGGATTAATTAAGTAGGATTATGATGTGGTGAGCTTTAGAGGATAATAGAGCTGACGGTGGAGTAGGTGAAACTGAACCCTTCTCTTTAATGCATCCGAGTCAACCTTTCTGAGTCCCACTGCTTTACGTATGGCTTTCTGATCATAAAACGCGTGCTCATAATTACTAACACTGCCCCAGATTTTCTTGTTGGTGTGAACACTGTACCCAGTTTAACATTATTCATTTATTTACGCCCTTTTGTTTTCTTTCTTATGTCGCTTGCCTTTCCAACTGAAAGAAAACTTCACCCTTTCCTTCTGCCTCTTGTCACCCCACCGTCTCACGGTCCTCTAAGGTTATATTTTGGATACAGCTTTTTCTAATTTGAAAAGTATTTTTCACATGCTATCCCATGCAATCGTGATTTTATTTATTAAGTCATTTTTAACCTGTTTTATCAAATCAAGAAAAACTTGATTTTTTAATTTTGTTTAAAAATTTAATAAGTTTTAAATTTTATTCTCATTAAATGTGTCCATTAAAATAAAATAATCTGACATTTAATGAAGGAAAAAGGATAAAAAATTTATATAAAAATTAAAAAAGTATTTTATAAACAGGATCAAAATAAGGACGCTCTTTTTCTTAAGACCAAAGGAATAGATATTCTTTGGATATTTATTGTGCTAATGTGAAAGTCTATTTAAAGTCTAATTGAAAGTCTGTTTAGGAAACCCAGCTTTTAATTTTTTGAAACATGAATTGAAGCTATTCTTAATTGATTTTTATATTATCCAAACAAATTTTATGTTTCAAGCCAAGTATTTTAAAAATATATTCAAACATAGACGGATTGTTGACAAATGGATTTTTGCTAAATTGGAAACTAAAATATGTATCATGTAAATATAATTTTAAGTTAAAATTTCAAAAATTCCTATAAATCCTTATGTAAAAAATAAATTTTTTCTGGGATTATTTTTTTCTTATCAATGTACTTGGAAATTGGAAGGTGTTTAATTCTGGAACACAATTTTGAAGTAGATGTGCTTTGCATGTCAGGGAAAGTAGGCTCCGCGCCTTGCCATGTGCCATGGGAAATAAGGCTGAAGATTGCTAGAGGGGTAGCACGTGGGCTGGCTTACCTCCACGACAAAAAGCACGTGCATGGAAATCTGAAGCCCAGCAACATTCTCTTGGGCAGTGATATGGAGCCCAAGATTGGAGACTTTGGTCTTGAGAAAATTCTAACAGGAGATACCAGTTACAAAGCTGGAGGCTCGGCCCGTATTTTCGGGAGCAAGAGATCCAGTGCGTCACGGGATAGCTTCCAGGATATTAACGTTGGGCCAAGCCCAAGCCCAAGCCCAAGCTCATTAAGCGGTGTCTCCCCTTACCATGCACCTGAGTCATTCAGGAACCTGAAGCCACACCCAAAGTGGGATGTCTACACGTTTGGGGTCATATTTCTGGAGCTACTGACGGGAAAGACTGTGGTTACTGATGAGACGGGCCAAGGCACTGGGCTTTTGGCGGAGGATAAGAACAGGGCCTTGAGGATGGCTGATGTGGCAATCCGTGCTGACGTGGAGGGTAAAGAGGAGGCCTTGTTGGCTTACTTCAAGCTAGGGTATAGTTGTGTGACCAGCGTCCCTCAGAAAAGGCCGTCAATGAAAGAAGTGTTGTATGCTCTTGATAAAATCACGAGTTCCTTTTCTCCGTCTTCTTCGTCGTGCGCCTATTATTACGGTCACTAAACCCTGTGCCTTTTGTTCTCACACTGCTCTTGTAGAAATTTGTATTTATGATTGACCAATAGCAGTTTAGTAACCATCGTGTGCATTGTGCTTGTATGACAGATTCATTTCCCTAATTATCTAGGAATCTTCTAATAGAATAATCTTTCTAATTTTCTTTTGGTTCTCACGTGTTGACTCAGTCCACTTCACCAAGTTCACTTCCATTGTATCGGATCTTGAGGTTGAATGCCCAGTCTTGTGTTCATATCCCATTCCCATTTAAGTATGTGGTTTGCTGAACATGTGAGGCCAACAATTCTGACGAAGGAAATGATGAAGACAAGTGTAACTGTTCTTAGCACATCCACGTTTTTCCAGAACACTGCGAAGCAACATAACGACCAAATTTGACTCTCAGAAGCAGGCTCGTCATAAGCCCCAGAATTATTGTCTGGCAGCACCATAGCTGTCACGTGGAAAATATCTCGCTTACGCCGTGCACTCAAACCATCAAAGCCCATTATGCAGTTCCGACATGTACCGAATCTCTTCAACTTACTCCAATTGGCTCCAGAGTTTTAAATTCCCAGCACAAAGAAAATGCCTTCATATTCAATTATTCACACACCTTTTTTTTTTTCATTACAAATGGAGGCAAAAGTCTGCGTGTAGAAAAAAAAAAGGAATAAGAAAAAATCAACCCATATTCCTACGACAGTATCTAGGTCGTACTCATAGCTCATGATAGCTAAACATTTGAGAGATGGTTTCATAACACTCCCGGCCTCCATATATAAGAGATTTTTTTTTAAAAAAAAATTGTCTTTAAATATAAAATGTTATTAACATATTTTTTTAATAAATAGATCATTATATTTTTATTAAATTAAAGAAAAGATAAGTACTTTCATCAATTTACTTTTATTAATTTACGTAATTTAATTAAAAATATCTTATATATAAAAACGAAGAGAGTAATACGTTGTTGAATATTGGTGATCTGAGGATAAAACATTGCGTGAGTTAATCTATGCTAACTCCAATATGGCTCCAAAGTTTTAGCTTTAAACTCCCAGCACAAAGAAAATGTTTTCATGTTCATACCTTTTTTTTTTTAATTACAAATGGAGGAAAAATTCTACATTAAGAAAAAAAGGAACAAGAAGAAATGAACCCATATCTCTACATGTAGAAAAAATGGTTCCATAGTAATACATTGTTGGTGATCTGAGAATAAAATATTGGGTGCTAACTATTTTGTGCAAGTGTTTACTTTCCTAGACATGTGCTCATAGAAAACCTTTCAATCATATATAACATTTTCCTACTATTAACTACAACTCCATAGGTGGGGTGAAATTTGTACTGAATTTTTTTTGAATGTTCTCTAAGATTTTTCTAAAATTGAAAAACAAATTAACTTTTCTATGTTGGAAATAAAATCCAACATATGAGGCTACACATGTATATATTAAAAATTATGGCCATTATTTAATTAAGTTTAAATAAAGTGGTCTGTCTAGGATAAAGTTGTAAGACTTGGGAGTATAGTTGTAATGGGATAAATGAATAAAAACTAAGGTGATATTTATGATTTGTTAAGGAGCCAAATTATAAATATTACAAACTAACTCTATAAATAAAGGTTATAATTATTGGTTTGGCCAACTAGAAAAAACGTTCTCCAATGCCCTTCTTAAAAACATACAGAGTTCCCACCAATGATAAATTTAGAAAACACATCCTAGAAATATGGTGATGAATTTAGGTATACTTTCGTGTTCTATCTCTATTCCTAAGTTTTGATATAAGAATAATCTTATAGGCTTATATAAATTTAATTTTGACTTCATATATTCTTCTACTGTTATGATCAAATCTATATCATTCTAAAGCTGAGAGTCCAACAAAGATTTAAACCTTTTGTTAGGCCGATCATTTCCACCATAGTGACATTCACACACATTCACATTAATAGGTTTCGGAAACATCTTCACTTCTGTTATACTCGTGTTACTATTCACAGACCACGGTTTCCCACTAGACACGTTTCTCATTTTATCTGTCAGCAAAATTAAGATGATGTAAACTTATTCCCGAATATTTCGTGTGAACTTGTATCCAAAAGCCGACTCGCAAGTAGAAATGGAGAAGTGGATGCTTTACTCTATGCCTAATTCATTTTTCGGCCAGGAATGTATAGAACCAAAGAACAAAACTGTGATAACCAAAGTTACATTCCATGATATGATCATTGCCAGATTGATAACGAAAAGAAGACTAGCTAGTAGCTGCCATGTTTGAAATAATTACTAACCAGTAGGTAAACTATCGAAGGGCATTAATAACATCAATAAATCAATGGACGCGATTTTATGAAGCCAATTGCATAGGCTGCTCCTGAGACTGAGATCGATTCTTCTTCAACATTGGCTCCTCTGAAACTGAGACTGATCCTACGGCCCACGAATCATTCGAACTATCATAGTTAAAGAAAGCATCGATGACACCATCTGGGCTTCTCGGTTCAGATGGGCGTTCGCGTCTGCTTTGAAGATTTTGGATGTCTTCATGACACCATAGTATTTTCAAAACAAGTTTGTAGCACTGGTTCACTTGTTCCTGTAAGAGTTTACCATCAAATTTGCCCAGTAATTCATCAAAATTTACTAGTATGGAAAACCATAGAAAGCAAACCTCGTTGATTTTGAGTAAACCCAGAAGCTGGTTTCTGTATTCCCCAGCATTAAACGGTTCAATGTCCCGGATAACGTGGACCATTGTAGCCGCAGCTATTATGGAAGGAAGATGACTCATAACCTTCGAATCTGAAACAAAATGAAGCAAATCCATCATCGGAATGTTTGTCTGATGCCAAACATGGAAGAGTAACTGCATAGGAATAGCTTACCCGCGAGCAGTAAAAGCAAAACGCGTTCGCATCGCAAGAGGAATTCACAGTGCGAGTGGCTCTTTAAACGGAGTGTTCTCACAATGTGGCCGAAGAAAGAAATTGGAGTCACAGGATTCATCTTCCATTGAAGAGTTGATAACACTAGAAGCTCCATTCGCTTTATATCTTTTGCTTCGAATTCATACTTGGATTCCTCCACCTGATTCGAAAACAAAAACCCCAACTTTAGGAAACAAACAAACACCAAGGATTCATAATAATGTGACACATACTTGAAGGTCTGCGAGATGCGGCACAGGAGTCTCCTCCACTTTTGCAGCCAGAAATAAACAAGCAACTGCAGCGAGCTGTGTCGTCCATGGCTTGTCTCTCCGAAAGATTAGACTTTGGATGAAGCGATCGAAGTAGTTCACAGCAAGAACAGTGGTCAGAGCAGAGAAATTGTGGTGAGCAGAAACCTTCAAAACCCAGAACACAGCCTCTTCGCGAGCTTCCTTGAGAGGCTCATCGATTATTAGATTACCAAGACCGTAATGGGTCCCTCTTTCTTTTGATATTAGAGAGGCAAGATCATCGTCGTCCAAGAAAATATCATTGTGTAACAAAATCAAAGGCAAAGATGGGGACTTTTCCCCGTATGTCTCTCCTTGAGTACCATCCTCTGAAAAACCGTCTTCCTCACAGAGAAGCTCGTCTAGGAAGAACGAGTTCTGGGCATCATTTGTGAGAGCCATGTTCGTCACAATGAATGGCATTTCAAAGATAATTATGTGGCGAGTATCTGGAAGGGAGTGAAAAACTTATGAAAGCGCATCATGGCCATCGTTGAGGAGATGACTCATTATTGTGAATTTGTGATGTCGTGCTCATCCAGTGTGAAAGCAATTGTTGTACACGCTCTCGTTTAGGAAGGTGTTGACAGTAGGAGTAGCAGGAGTAGGATGTGCGCTTGCAGGTCGGGTTCCTCGAAGAACGAATCGGATAGAAACTGAAGAAGAGGTGTTGGGAAGGTAACGGCTGCCACGCGCGTCGAAAAGCCGTTGGGGTTGTGGATGGAATCGTGAAGGCGCTTTCAGTTTTGAGGGCGTCCAAGTCCAACAAGGAGAAATGGAGGATCGTGTTCCAGCAGGACAGTAACCAGAATGAGATGAATTTAAATTAAATCCTCTTAAATTTAAATTAAAATTATGTAAATTACATGAAGTTTTTTTTTTAATTTGAAGATTTTATATTTTATATAAAATAATAAAATGAAAAAATATTAAATTTTTTAAATTCATGAATTTTTAGTTTTGGAGGATTTAAATTCATATTAAATACTATTAATTCAAAAAAAATTTCTTTTTAAAATTTTATTATTATTATTATTGGATAAAAAAATTAATATTATATTTTAGATGAATTTGTTTTGTGGGTAACTTTTTTTTTTCCTGCCAGCATCGTGCATAACTAATATCATCACGCGCGGGATTGTTGTATTTTCTGGAGTCTGACACTAGCAAAACGTTTGGTCAAACACGTTCCAATTATTATTTTTAAATGAAAAAGACAATCAACCCCTTGGTGTTTAATATTCAATTTACATCTTATAATAATTTACTTAAACAACTATTTATTATATTTAATAAAAGTTCATTCTAAATATAATTTAAGTATATTTTTTGGGGTCATTCAAACAAGCTCTAACGCCCAGGCCTTAAGTGCAGGTGATCTGGACAGCCTAGTCTTACTCAATTCAATTGACCTAACTAAGCAAACAATAATTATAATTTTTATCCATTAATGCAATATTGTGTTTTGCAAGCACGTTTACATACTCTTAATCTTTAAATTTGCTTTGGCATTCCAAGAAAATTATAATAAAAGATCTTGACCAACCACTATTATTCAATACAATTACTCTTTTGATGATTAACTCCTTTAGCACACTAGTAATTTTGAAAGAGCATAGGGCTCCACACCAAAACCCAAACCAACATGAACAATTACCTAAAATAAATTGAAAAGTGAGTTGAAAATATATATTTTTTATAATAAACAAAGAAGAGTAAAAGCAAACAGCTACTCTACAAAAACAAGAAAGAAGAAAATGAAGATCCTTTACAGGTAAAATGTGAAGAGGAGATAGTGTCAATCCATGTTTGGCAAGATAACCAACTTCCACATTAGCCTCTCTTCAAACAAAGCCAAGCTCGATAGTCCAATCACAACAAGACATATCATGACATTCAAGAATCAAGTTCCAATTATCATGAGCATTGTTGTTCCCATCCTTAATTAAATTAAAGGCCTCTAAAGAGTCACTTCTTAGACAAACCTTTCGATGTCCCCCATCCCAAGCTTGCCAAAGTCCTATAAGACAAGCCCAAAGTTCAATAACAAAAGGATCTGTTTCTAAAAGTTTAAGCATAAAAGCTTTTAAAAGAGAGTGATAACTATCTCTAATGACACCCTCACACTTGTATCAATATTAAAGTGAGAATAAGTCATCATCTATCATTATCCAACCTCCCTATAACATAGGAGGATTTCCTCCCTTCTTCATGACTGTATGAAGATTAACTTGTCTCAAACTTAGATGTGCCTTATTATAGCTAGAAACAATAGCCCTAGTCTTCATATAAAGTTGTTGATTGCTAGGATTGATATTTCCAAAAATTCATTCATTTCTTCATTTGCAAAGCAGCCAAAAAGTAATAACAAATAATTTCTTCTAGTTATTCGCAAACTATCCCACCTTTGCATTGATGTTTAAAGAGAACCATTTTCACATATTACAATTGAAAAAACATGCGATAATACTCAATTTTATAATAGAAAGCCATAAGGATTTTTTGGCAATTCCACAAATAGGATAAGCATCATCACCAATGAGCATATTATAAGCAGACTTAATAGAAAAATTACCATACTTCTCAAGCTTCCATCTAACTGCTTCATTGCCATCATGCCCAATAGCCCAACCACTCTTTTCATAACTTATACCCAATTGTCATGGATTCCTATCCACAGTTGTAACCCAAGTTGAGATCTTCTCAATATTTGGGATTAAGTTGGCCCTACACTTACATTTACTTCTAACAACTTGAGCCCATAAAGTACCCTTATTATTTATCAATCCCTATCCTGCCTTTATCATAAAGGCCTTATTTTGAAGTCTCACATGTCAAATTCCCAATCCACCTTTCTTATTCTCCTTACAAAGGTCACTTTGTAATTGAATGTCAACTATAAATTAAAAGTTGTATTTAATATTATAATATCTTTTAAATAATTAAAACTCCACAATTTATAGTTGAAAATTTTTTTTAAACACACCCCCATTTTTTTATACCTTACTTACTATTATTATGATATTAGATTGTAGAGTGAACTTACTTAGATGCTAGGATTTATCATTTATATTTAAGAAGACTTATTATAAAATCATAATATATATATATATATATATGAAATTATATTTTTATAAATAATAGTATGACACTATGACTTGTTATAAAATACATATTTTTTAGTTCCTGTGTTGGTCTAATGTAATTTAAATGTTAAAAAATATATACATGACTAAAAAAATCATTACTACTTAAAAGTAAAAATTTGCAAATTATAATTATTTCAGGGCATGACATGGAAACTTTTTTTGTATTGTGTTGTTGTGGCATAGTATGATAATTCTAATTAATTCACCTAGTTGAACTGGTAAATTATTAAATTAGTGTCTTGATCAGTTAATAAAATTCTTTATTTATGATTGGCTTGATTACAGTTCGACTACAATTTTAATTATTAACATTTAAATCAATGTCTTAACTAATTTAATAACCAATTTGTTGGATAATGCTGGCATCCAAGAGAGAAGTGAATTGGATGATACTTAATTTTTTTGAAAAAGTATGAAGAATGGAAGAGAGATACAAGAAGTAAAAAAAATTTAACACTAAAAATTTATCCTGGTTTAGCCCAATTTCAGTACAACTTACAAGACTTGACTAGTTTTATTTCAAATAACCAACCTTGCTACAACCAACAGTTGTTACAATTCACTTGAAAAATTTCTTTTTAAGATTTCAACTTTATTTTCAAGAAAAATTCTCTTAAAAATAAACTTTCTATAAAAAGTAGATTAAGTATAATGAAAGTTTAAGAACTAATAAGAGCTTTGTCACAAAATTTATCAAAAATGACAAATGAATGAATGCAAGATGTTTGATACACAAATTGAAAGCCTTTAAGAATGTTCAAATAAAGAATAGTTCACTCAATTATCAAAATTCTTGTTCTATACTTGAATTGCGTCATGTATATAGTTTTACAGTGCATAGACTATTAGAATAGTGAATGTATCTGTTGGTGACATTTCTTGTGTGCAACCAAGAGATTCAAGCGTGAAATGGAAATAGGAAAGTTCCAGTCAAGCATATATGATAATTCAAGCATAAATACTAGGGTGACTCACGCATGTTTTAGAAGGTAAAAAGATGCATAACATTCTATATGACAAAATAGGTGTGGTTCTCTCTGACTCTTATATGTGAATGGGCTGACAGAATGCCAAAGCTAATCTAGGTGATAGATCATGCATGGAACACACTAACTGTCACCCGTGAAATGGCTAGTTACAAAACTTAAGCCATTCTAGAAGAAAAATCACATGTGAAACACTCTACCTTTTACGTGTGAAATGACTAGTTACAAAACTAAATCATTCGTTAGATAGATTATGCATGGAACTAATATGTATTCAAGCATAAATTTTATGAATAAAAGATTTAGTTTCTACAAGTGACAAATCACAAATCACACAAGTGCATAAAACGAATCAGGCTAGAATTGGCTTAAGGCTTAATTAGGCTAAATGTGTTCGAAAGATCAATTGACAAAACAGTGTGAAAGCTTTCTCTTTTAGGCGTGAAACGTCACTACTCAAAATGCAAAGGAACACAATGTAACAATTCGAGCATGCATACAAAAAGGTTTCAAGTGTAAATTGGAGCACAAAAGCTTCATCAAGGCATTATACAAATAAAGGTGACAAATCATGCGTAGAACCATTCTGATTCAGGCATGAAACGTTATGCAGTGAAAAGATCAACTTCTACGATCCAATTCAAGTGTGAATAACATTATTCCAAGCTTAAATTGACTAGGACAAGTCTTAAGATGTACAAATAAGACTTATAAGCCTAACATGAGGTATTCACTTTAAAATTGATAATATGTGATTAAGCTCTCATAGTTTTCACATTAAATCTAAGAGAAATAAATGACTTAAACCTATAAATCTTCTTTTTCTCTTGATTCTCCTATAAATCTTCTTTTTCTCTTGATTCTCCAAATTCTTAAGGTTTTGTCTTATCCATGAATCTTTTATATCTGCACAATAACACACACCTCTTAGTTTGTAATCAGCAAAACACATGATTCAACATGATCTACTGTTTAATACTTGATTCTTGACCATTTTCTAGCTTCCCAATATTTATACCTTTTTCTTTGAGAGTTCATATTTGCTTATTTAATATCCTACGTCCTATACAACTAACCACTTACGCCTTACCCTTATCTACTCTTTCTACATACTTTATGTAAATTGCGAACTAGATTTTTCTTTATGAAAATTTTGGTATAAAGATTAAAAAAAGTAGGATAGTATTTAAGAAATGACCCGATTTTAAGAATGTCCAAGTGAGCTTCAAAGATATGCTAGCCATCTTTTTTTTAATATTTGAAATATGCTAGTCACCTTTATGATTCTATCAAGCCTAGTCCTTCTTACTAAATATTTCAACATTAATTGGTTAAGTTAGTTAGTAACAACATGTATATACTGTTTAGATGTTTTTTCCCCAACATATACTAGATATTATTGTATAAATCAAAAGATGCAAGGTAAAGGAGAAAAAAACACCAAAGTTAACAAAACAAATGAAAAAAGACCATGCAAAGAAACAAAAAAAACAACAAAATAGTAAAATTAATCTTCATCACTTCAAACAACAGATAAGCTATGGTCTATTGTAGATGAACAAGTGCTCTTCACATTCTTTGCTAAAACAAGAGATAAAGAAAGTAATGATGTATTCAC